GTTGTTTCTTGTACATGATCACCCGTGTCGCCCAAACTAATGGCAAAGTCACACGCGGCTTAACTTGGCTACTTTTTTGCAGCTTCCGATTCATGTAGCTTCTTATTCGTAGCGTCGTTCACGTTTTAGGTTAAGTTATTTTATTTTTTGCAGAAAATATCTCCCATAGAATGACAGATATGGGGCTGCGTTTCTCTCGCACTAACCCATTCACAAAGGATAAAATAAACACACTAGAGACAGTACAACCAATGAGGCATACAAAAGAACACAAATATAAGTTTGCATGTTATTAATGAATAATCCCATTTATTTAATGGCGGCATTATATCGTGGTCCTTCGTATTTAAAACAAACTGCCGCGCCCAGCTAACCATGCTATCTAGAGACGGATGGCTTGTTACCGCTAACTTAGCATTTCCCCAACAAAAATATATATTCTTGGCTTTAAACCACAACTCGGTACAAATTAATAAATAATTGGGGATGGTATTTACATGTGATATTGGGCGTATATGACTATTAAACTCAGACATTTACTAACCTGAATTGGGAGAGAAATACCGCACACGTGTAAGCGAGAGCGCTTCCGTGCAGAATTTATTCACGATGCATTTCCTGCTCAAGATAATTGCTCTACCCAACACTCGTGGTCCAGCGCCCCCGCTCGGAAGGGAGTCTGAATTAATACACGTATGAATGTGGATAAACACAAAGTAGGAAAGCAAGGAGAAAGAAAGAAAGGGAAATATATATATATATATATATATATATATATATATATATATATATATATATATATATATATATATATATATATTTATTGCATTATAAAATAAGGCAAGGGACAGTATGACATTAATGTGTTAACCAGAAACTAAATGTTAATTATGTACTGATCCCGTGTTTGTTCATTAATAAATCATAACAGTTCATGTACTTCGTGCAGTTACTGTATTTGTTCATTTGTATTTGAGTAGTCACTGAGTTACCAAGTTACTTGTGCCCCCGCAGGTAAAGTGTCAGCCTCCTTTCTCCTTTTATAGGCTCAGCACTTTAGCAGAAATACTGTTGCGCAGAATGAAATGGTACTAGCAGGCGAAGGGGAAGCAGACTGTTTCCATGGCAGAGATTTTCGTTTCCTTATGAAAATCTAGATGTTTCACGAAAAGTGTCTAAATAAGCAAACATATTACACTGTATAGGCAGAGTGCAAACTGCAATAATTCTGATTATATCAGAACAAGGTATTCAACCATTAACGATTTACATAATGCTAAATTCTCCTGTGAGAGAGCGCACTGGGAAATGCAGTGAATATGTTTGTAGAGAAACAGCAATTCTGGTTGCAGTGGCTCCACGTGTCCAAAGGTCTCTTGGGCTCAGCCATTTGATTGGTCAGCTCTGGACAACAGGAAGGACCACTTTCATCTCCAGCTGTATGTGTTACAAAGCAAATGAGGATCTGTGTTGAGACTACAGAGCTTTCGTTGTTATTTGTTTAGTGGACGCCTGCATCCAAGGCAAACCCATATAGATAAGGGAGGCACATTTTATTGTTTATACAGCTGTGTATTTACTGAAACATTTCAGATTAAATGTCTTGCGATCCTGTTATTTGGACATGAAACCCTTTCACTGCGAGCCTGAAAACACAACGGAACTACTCACTGTGATTAGATGGCAATGTCTGTCAAGCAGCATGTGTACTGTACAAAGCTACATTATGCAGAACATGTCAGATATCAAACAATAGCATATTTCACGATGCCCCAGAAGTGAAAAAGCTAGCTGTTGCTAACTCGCTATCCCCAGAGACTGTAATTTGTACTGTGATCCCTCTGGGACATCATCAGCTTCCTGGACAGCTGAAAATCAGGTTACTAATTGTGATTCACTGCCATGTGGTCAAATTAAATATAGTTGATAATTTTTTTTTAAAAAAGTCGCACTGTATAATATGGCTGTTTTTTATTTGTTGTGAAAAGGAGGAGAGGGAATTTGCAAAACTACTAGGCTGAGAATACAGCAGTGGACCGTGCAGGTTTATAAGGAGATAAGGGTTAGGGAGTAGAACGGACAATGAAGATTAGCTTAAGAGAAAAAAGCAGGCAGGGATGTTCTGGACATCTCTGCTACATGGTCCCTGGGTCCTGCAGCATCAATTATGTAACCTCTCAGTGAAAGTAAAAGCAATAAAAAAAGGTTTTTGCCAAAAATAAATAAATAAATAAATAAATAAAAATCCTGTTAAAACCGGTTAAGTCAGAAGTCATTGTTGCATGAGAGCCCAAGTGCTTTTATTGTGACATTTCTTCTACAGCGCCCTGCAGGAAAACCACTTAAGAGGAGATGTGAAGTCTTTATCCCTCTCTATAGTTTTAAAAATAATTTTAGAGGTATTTCAAATGTGGTGGCTTAATGGGTTTATCCACGATGTCTGGTGGCTGGTGAAGGCAAAGGAGGATGCAGCAGGACTGATCCGGTGACGGTCCCATCTCTACTCAGAGATACCTGCTGCCTAAATCTCAGCCCCATTATGCAATTCAGCCTCTGCACCCACACTTGCACCCACCAGCAAACAGGCGGCTGCATCTCCTTGCCAACGCATGAGTTACACCGACTAACGAATGGATGTAGGAGGGTCAGGAGGTCTTGAAGATGCCTAGGCCTCTGATTCGCACTGCCCTCCGGCTCTGCTCCAAAAGTTCTGGGAAATGAGTGCTTTGAGGGTTCGGTCTGGCCACTAAAGTGCTTAGATGTACATAGACTGCTATCAGATCAAGTGATCATTACTCTCCCATTAATAAAATCGATATTGTGGCATCTGGAAACATTATCCCATCATTCAGCTTCAATAATTAATTAATTCAGATTTGTTTCCAAAGCCACAAAACCTTCTAGGCATATCTAAGGATGAAAGGTGTGTAACATTCGCAGATCTGCTTCAGTATGTATAACATAGCAAATAACACATAACGCAGTAGGTTTCTCAGAACAAACATATATACAGAAATCACACAAAATATGATCGTAATCAATCTGAAAGAAACATGTATGAATGTCCTTCAGAGCTGTGGTGGCATGTTGTTTATCCTAAAATAACCCTGATCTAAGAGGTTAATAAGATGTCATATGGGATTATGTCATGTCTTAACTATCAACCCATAAATTGGAACCATTACTGATATAGGGAAGAAACTACCATTCCAATTGTTTTCCACTCAGCACTGGTTGTATCATTTATGCTACAGTTGCACTGTAATGGCTGTGTGTACAATAGTAACATTTCTCCTAATTATTCATCATCCTGTTTCGTCTGCACTATAGTCTTTTTCTCATTTGGTCTGTTATAAGTGAAGTAAGTGCAATTACTTGTCGACACACAACAGTGCACAATAATGTGTCCTTGGCATTTAATCGATATGTTACATAGCAGTGGGTAGCTATTATTTAGCACCGAGGAGCAGTGCTTGGGGGTGGTACCTTGCTGGGGTATCTCAGGGATACCATGCTGGTCAGGGATTCGAACCAACAACCATTCCATCACAAGCATGCCTCCCTAATATTTAGGCCGCAACTCCCTCTGTTGTCAAATATGTTAAAACTGATAGCTTGTACCAGGTATGTATAATTACGTTAACTAGCTAGAAGTTGTAATGTCTTCATTGCCTTGTAGGTACAATTGGAATGAATGCCAGGAGACGTTATAGATGACTCATTAATTTGTTGATTCAGTCACTGATCACTGTTATTGATATCTCAGCACAATTGTGCCTGTTATTACAGTGTTCACATACAAATATCAATGAGGTTATTTTAATTGCCCTCACACATACGATTGGCCCTGGGTGGACAACGGGACGCGCCCTGATGATAATCAGTCGCCTGCCCGCGTCTCACAAAGTGTCCTGAAAGGTGCCAACGTCAGAGAGGCGTGGGGGACCCTGACAGAGTTCTCTGACTGGGGGCCGAACATGATTTGAGGCGACGGCAAAGTGAGAAAGGCGGAGAATAGAAGAATGGGCGACTTTTGCAACGGTGACAATGACAAAGCTGTGTCATACCAAAGAACAGCAATGCTGTATATTCAGCAGCATTATTACGCTCCCGTTCCAGGTGAGACCACACTCAGTCCAGTTTTTCTAAGATGTTACTTTAGGGTATTTCCAGTGGAAACCTAAAATTACTTCACCGCTGAGCTATTTTGCCATTTTATAAAATAAATGCACTGCCCTGTCAAACAGTGTTTGAGACTCATCAGATTAAATGTACACGTATAAATACATTTTCAGGAAATTACATAATTAGAGAGAAATTTGTAATCATATTTTCTGGTAGTGTATGTTTCTTGGCAGGATACCTATACGTCAATATTCTGAAATTGTGTGCGGATGGTCTCCTGCACAGTGTGTGATAGTGGCTCCTCTGTGTCCTGTAAGCGTATACACACGCAAATATCCTCACAACAGACACAGCAGCGTAGCATTAGTAAAGCGTTAGATCAGTACCATGGACAGCAAGCTGCCCGCGTATTCAGACCCTGGGGACAAGACGCCAACGAACAGTTACAAGCAGCGCTCGAAGGAGCCCAAGGGTATCGCCATTCTTGTCTAGCTTCTCAACGCGTTTTGTTCGATTAAACGAAAAATAAACAATGAAATGTCCCTTTTACACCACAGTCAAACTTCGAAGACATACTTTCCATCACCTCCATAATGCTATCTCACGAATTTAGTTAACCCGTATAAACCACAGCTCAACAGACAGCATCCTTAAGACCGACCAGACCCATCAGCAACATCGCATCGTATTAGAGCCGTTTTAACTTTAAAAAAAAATCTAAAAGATTTTTCAAGAGTAATGTACAGTAGGTATATTTTTGACAGCTACGGATGCTAGATAGTTACGGATTAAGACTAACAGACCGGAATTGCATCTGTTGAGTCCGTAGTTGCCAAAAAAGCCAGATATACTCACTGCTGAAGAATTGACCTTACCTTAATCAATATTTGAAGTGTCCCAGTTCGTATCCGATATAGTTTATGATCAGAAGCCCCGATCTGGGCATTCATGTATTTCAAAACAATTACAGATGGCCATTCCTTGTAAACGATGTTCACGGTTTCAGCTGGCGAGGTAATAAAATTACTGTACACGGAATGCAGTTACTTTCCACTATGCTTTCGCATCTGATCACACCCACATTTGGATCCTCTCGTGTTTAAAAATACGCGCATTATTATAATGATCGTTGTTGCTGTCGGTTTTATACGTCATTACAACGCATCTTAACTAGAACAAACAAACTTCTTAACTGGATACACCCAAGTTAAAATGACACATAAACAAACGAGTTTTAATCTGTATTACAGCCCCTCGTTTCATAATGTTATCTCCGTGTTGGCCTTCTCTTCAGTCTGGACTATAGTGTACAGCTTACTCAAGTGTTATACCAGTGCGTCATTTGCTGATTGGCTGTAGGGAGACGTTTTACAATTTAAAAGCCATTTCCTGATGTCTGTGTTCATCACTATTAACATACAACTGTTGTTATGAATGCAGTATTAAGAATTAATGACGATTACGTATCCTTCAATTCGCGCAAAACAAATAACCACAGTTTTGAAGGTGACGTTTTTCTTGGTGCTTATACTGTTCCATCTTATGCTGTTACACATTTTAAAAACAACTACATCTTGTCAAACTTCCTAAGAAATGCGCATTATTTCTAAAGAGACGAGTGCACAGTATACCGTAACCATTCTCCAATAAGGAAGTGAGGTGGACTTTGCCTTGCAGTTTTTGTGAGTATGGGGGATACTACGGCAGCTCGCAAGAAAATCGCCTCGATAGTTTACCTATCGTAAGGTTTTTATGGGGATAATTTTAGGGAGTATTTCCCGTTAATGCTGTGATGTTGCCTGGTTGAGCCATCGGAGCGGGCGTTTGTCGCTGTCCGTCCGGCTTTGAAATGACAGGCAGAAATCCGCACGTTTTATCGCTTGTATATAGTTGATCGTCCGGATTGATGCCCAGCCGTAAAGTGGCGTATTTATTACTCCGCTGCCCGAAGGAAGATGGAGATGACTGCCTAGCAGCGTTTGTATTAATAAGAATATCGATACTTTGTAGCCGATTTTGTATGTTTAGTTTATTATATCGAATAGGCAGTTATTTAAATAATGATATAGATCCGACTGAGAAATTATATTGCCCCAGAGCAGTGACCATAAGCATTATTAGTGAGGTAAACAACATACTTTTTTCAGTATTGTCAAAAGTAAAAGCATGTTCCCATGAGAACGCGTTATATTCTTGTGTAGCCTATCACTGACACTATGCCAAATAAATTATGCTGCTGTACTGTTCGACATTTTAAACAATCGTTTAGGGAAATTAACGCATATAATATTCTGCTTATATATCTTTGAAGACATGAGGCATAAGATGTATTTTTTCGAGGTGTGTGCACTCTGTATGTCTGGGGACGGAGAGGTAGATGCGCCACAATTTCACGAAACTACCACTCCCAGTTAGGGTTAACATGTGCCGGACATCGCGACTTTTTTGTTTTCACAATTCAAATATTGCCTTAGATGCAACACAGGTCTGCCTCGTTACAACGACAGGAAAAAGTGGTGTAAAAATTAGGCATGGTATGTATACATGCTGTATAGTATGCAGGATAGTTGAAGGATACAATGCCTACTTCAACGCCTTCGATGTAGTTAATTTTAGGTTTATAATGGAATAATATAGATATAATAATATAGATTTGCCGTAAGATTTCTTGCGTAAGCGTTGGAGTCTGAAAGCGGGAGTGTCACGAAAGATGCCTGAGAGTTGGCGACCCTGTATCTATGATTTCTCAATATAGCCAGCTAGTTCTGTGAGATACCTCTCCCCCAGTGGATTTCTTCAGGCTTGCTTTCACAGCTGTTAAATTGCAAGCCACAGCATTGGTTCACCATCATCAGCAAGTCACAGAAGTGTGGGCCATGTCAGATGCGTGAGAGTTGGCGACCCTGTAAAACGTGTTTAGCTGATGATTTCATTTTAGTTGTCAAAGTGGCACAGATCTAACAGCTAATATCTGATTAAAATGAGCACTAAATCTGAATATCAATTCAATCTATAATCAACCAAATTGTTAAAACCTTCTTATAGGCATCACTTATAATTATCTGCATATTTGCACGTTTCAATGGATAAAACTTCACAGCCGTATTAGGACAAGCCAGTTACATTTAGATTCTTTCACAGCCACTAAGAGTATGATACGAGTGAGGCAGGCTGGGTGTGTGAATGAAATATGGATGTACATTCACAGCAAGAGTATTTTAAATTAATCATAATAGAAAATAAATATACAATATATCTATAAGCAATTAGTGTTTATTTACCCCACATGCCATGTACATATTAGAAAATGTGTATGGACCCCACATGCCATGTGTTACGTCCTGAGTGTTCCGATCCTCGTGTGTGCCACGCCCCCTCATTTGCCTCATGTGGAATCCCTGTGTCTTCAGCTGTTTCTAGTTGTGTTGATTATTTTGGTGTATTTAAGTCGTTGTCTGTGTGCCTCTTGTGAGCCCAGTCATTAACGTCATTCACTTCATTGTTTGTTCCTGAGTGTGTTAATCCCGATTAAACCCCACGTTTGCCTGATTCCTCGAGTCCTGTGCTTGCTTTCCTGCTCCGTGCCTGTGCGCTATGTGACAGAATGACTGGACTGCGGACAAAGACACCTCATCTTTCTGAGGAGGAATACCTCGATCTAGTGTATGAGGTACTTTACTGGCTCCAACAGCCTGAAATCCAGGAGGACCCTGTTGCTCGCGCCCTTGCTGCTCAGTCGAGAAACATGTTGGAGGAGATCTCCCCATCCAGCAACCCGCACTTAGCCGAAGAGGTGTGGCAGAACCTGGCCCGGCTGAGAGTCGCAGAGGCGATGATGAAGCAGGTACACTTGGACTGTGGATTGCCTCTTCTCCCCTCTGTCGAACTGTCCCCTGCTCCTGTCAAGTCAGCTCACAAAAAGAAGCGGAGAGACCAAAGATAGGAGGACATGCCAGGTGCCTTCCTGTGGTCTGTCTCGTTCTCTTGGGAATGCCATCCCTCGGATCTCCAAGTTCCCTAGAAAAGGGGGGTCTGATCCAGTCCCCATGGTTCCTGTTCCAGTCCCCATTCCTCCCATCTTGGTGGAGCTCGAATGGGACCACTCGGGAATCACCCTGACTTCTCCCCCTACGATTCCCTCTGGAGTGAAGCCCCAATGGCCACCATGTCAGGGAAGATCCCAGCCAGGTCCCCGTCTCTGTGTCTTGCAGGGAGAAAGGTCATTTATGCCGGGGTCGTGGCCCGCCCTCCCTCTCCCCTGGTTTACCTCTAGTCGCCCTTGCTTCCGTCCAGCATTTGCCTGTGGTTCCCACAGCTCCACCTCGTTGGTCGCCTGCACCTTCACCGGTTGTGGCTTCGCCTGCATCTGTGGTGGCTTATACTCCCTCTTCACCTCCTCCGTTGTCCCCTTCGGCTTTCTCTTCACCCCCTTCGACAGTCTCTCCGCCTTCCTCCTCGCCCCTCCAGTATTACCTCTGCCTCCTGCCTCATGGTTGCCGAAGTTCCCTCCGGCTTTAGTGTTGCAGTCGCCTGCGGCCCCTACGGCTCCTGCCTTCCATCCACCAGGGATCACTCCACTTCCCTGGCTCCCCCCGCCCTTTGCTTCCCTGCCCCTTGGTTCAGTTCCCCGTTTGCCTGCCCCCTCAGTGTTTCCGCCAGGTCCCTCTCCTTTCCTTGGTGTGCGCCCTGGTATTCCTTCATTTCCCCCGTCCTTTGTGTCTTTAGGTCCTCTGTTTCCGTCCTTGGTGTCCCTGTTCGTGTCTGTGTTTGCCCAGTTGGTGTCCTGGTTCTTGTCTTGCTTGTCCCTTGTGTCGTTCCTGTTCCTGTTGGTGCAATGATGTTTCTTGCTTTTGTTTTCTCAGGTGCTGTGGTCCTGTCCTGCCCGGTGTCCCGTCGTCTCCCTGGTCTGGTCCCTTTGGTCCCTTTAAGTGCACCTGGAGTGTCTTTGGGGGGGGGGGGGGGGATTTCTGTTATGTCCTGAGTGCTCCAATCCTCATGTGTGCCATGCCCCCTCGTTTGCCTCATGTGGAATCTCCGTGTCTTCGGCTGTTTCTAGTTGTGTTGATTATTTTGGTGTATTTAAGTCCGTGTCTGTGTGCCTCTTGTAAGTCCAGTCATTAACATCATTCACTTCGTTGTTTTTTCCTGAGTGTGCTGATCCCGATTAAACCCCACGTTTGCCTGATTCCTTGAGTCTTGTCCTTGCTTTCCTGCTCCGTACCTGTGTGCTACATGACAGCCATGTACATTTTAGAAAGTGTGTATGGACCCCACATGCCATGAACATATTAGAAATGTGCAGGACATTGGTGAGCAGGGTTGCAGAGACGTTTAAAGGGGCGGGTGCTCAAAGTTAAAAAAGATAGAACAGGCTGAATAACAACAACTCACATTC